GCACAGAACATAATTATCCTTCCTTCTCTTCTAAATCTTTCATGTAAACCATACAGCATAATTAAAACATTTTCAAGCACCAATTAAAAGTGTCCATTTAAATTGAACAAGGTCACAAGAGAAAATAAATAAGATCTACTGTAAAAATTTGGAGGAACTACATATGGAAAACAATATAACAAATCTATTGTCAGTTAAATCTGTTGGCAATCTTAATGTTGACTTGTAATACAAAAGCTTAGAAATAAAGTACATCGTAATGCATAGTCTTCTAAATATTAAAAATAATCAAATGTAAACAAACAAACAAACAAAAACCCCACTAAAATGTAGGGGAAGGAAGAGGCAGAAAAAGAAAGTTTATCTGCTAGACGTTTTTGAGTGTCAGAGATTGGTAATGGCCTCAGTTAAGAATCGTGAGTTAAATTCATTGAACACATCAAAGTCTACTCATCACAGATTAGTGTAGGAAATATTACAATGTGCAAGGCACACGCTCCTTTAGGAATGAAGGATTTAGAATTCTAGGTACTAACAATGCTGCCAGCATCCAGTCCTCAGTTGTCAGTGTGTTGAGGCCTTTGCCTGTCAGTACAAGGTCATGTGGAATCTAAATGCCTAGCCCTCTCACCCTAGCTGGGGAAAATGCTGAAGAGCCAATTCAGCTTCAGAAACTCCCATTAAGTTGACTTAAACTTGGGGTTTTTGTTTGTTGTTTTTCTTTTCTTTTTACTACACCACCCCTGGATGTCATCTTTTGGACACTTTGTTTCTCTCCTTTCCTATCCATAGGTGTTGATCCCAATAGAATTCTGGAGATGAATTTCATAGAGATGGCTTCCTGATATTCCAATCTGTGATGTATTATTTACAGAAAAATCAGGGTACAACATCAAACAGAATAACTCACAAGAATAAATAATAAGTGCTAATTTTGAAATGGTTTTATTCTAAGAATTCTCTCTCACACACACACAAACACACAAACCAAAGGGGTTGGGAATAAGAATGCTTATGAAACAAGGAATGAAATCCATTGCAGGAAACCACTGAACTTGAGTGAGTGAGGCTCTCATGAGATGAAAGCAAGAAGTATTCATGATAGTCAAAAGTGTGGCAAGAATGGCCCTAATTGACACTCAACCTCGTGAAGAGATCATTAAAGATATGTGTGCTATGGCAGTGTGGCGAAAAGCAAAAGAAATAAACAATAAAAACATGGTGCTTGGAGTCCTAAAGTCTTGTTGTAAAACAAACAGCAATCTAATGAGGCATCAACTAAATCCACATGGAAGAAGTACATCAGTCTGTACTGGTGATCATAAATAATAAAATCCAAATCCAAAGGAGGAAACAGTAGCAGAGCCTAAATCGCGAACACCTAGTATGCAGAGGCTATAGATGACAGTGAAAGCCCAAAATCCATTTGCAGGGTGGCACTCCCATTACATCAGGCACTCTGCACATCCTCTCAGGTGCACCAAGCTGCCATGGGCCACACCATCACAGCTTTTTGTGAGATCACCCAGTGCAGCACCATCCTCATGGGTCCACAACCACCCAACCTATGTCCCCTGAGAGGTCCACCCAACTTGCCGTCCAAATAACAGAACACTGGTTGACAAGGGGAAAAGTGAAGCCAGAGGAGGATAAACCAGTAGGTCAATTCCATAGTGCAATTAGCTGCAGGCAGTTTGAAGAAGCATTCCTATAAGTCTCCCAGAGAGAGCCCAGTGCTCTTCAACACTGGAAAATGTCTCCTAGCGCCTCTAGAACAATGCAATGCAAACAATAATCAGCCTCAATGAAAAACAGGAGAAACAAAAGGCAATGGCAGAAGATGTCCTGGACCTAATGACATGCATATAAGAAGCAGACATTGATCTGTCACATAAAGAAATTTTCAGAATGCTGCTTGGAGTCATACAGTATATCAGGGAAACAATACAGAAAAAGGATGAAATGATAGAGGACATAAAGACCATACACAAAAGGGAAATACAAGAGCTTAGGGACGATATAACAAAAATGAGTTGCAGACTCATAGACTTCGCCAAACTGACAGGAGGCGGCATAGAGCTGCAGCAGTTACTTAGAGGACAGCCAAGCAGAATTTAACAAACATGAAAAAAAAAATCTAACAAGATCATTAGAGAAGCTGAAGAAAACCTAAGAGCTATGCCTGATGCTATGAAGAGAACAACATCAGGATAATTGGATTACTGGAGGAAGAAACAACAAAGAAGTCATCTGCAAAAAATGTGAGAGAATTCTTGGACAAAAACTTCTCCAGCTTAACGAATGAAAACCATGAAACCACTCAGGAGGCTGAAAGAATACCAGCTAGACTGATTCCCAAGAAGAAGTCATGAAGGCACATTATTGTTAAACTAGCTAACTTTGAGGAAAAGGAGAAAATCATGAGAGCAGTTAGGGAAAAACAAGCAATTACATATAAAGGTGCCCAAATAAGAATATACTCAGACCAATCAGCGGGCACTTTGAAGAAAAAGAGAGTGGAGTAACATGCTCAAAAAATTGAAGGAAAATAATGTAAAACCAAGAATACTCTATCCAGTCAAATTATCTATCCAGATAAATGGAGAAGTAAGAGTCTTCACAGACAAGGAAAAAAATCAAAGAATATGGTAGAAGAAACCCAGCCTTACAAAAGATCCTAGCCAACCCAGTATGGGCAGGAGAACTTCACTCATGGAGCACAAACAAGAGACCACCACATAGAACAACCCCACCCCGAGAACAACAAAGAGAAAAAAGCCCCCAAGATAGCACTTGTATAAGGGTGGAACGAAGTTAAGAATGAACCACACACACACACATGCATAACACACTGATAAGAAAGGGAGGTTAGGAAAACACCCAATACAACACGTATAAGATGACATCACAGAGTCCACAGATGGACGTAATAACCCTTAACATCAATGGATTGAACTCAGACATTAAAAGACTGAGGCTTAGAAAACATAACCCATCAATCTGCTGCCTACAGAAGATACATCTCAAGATTACAGACAAAAATTGGCTGAGAATCAAAGGCTGGAGAAAAACATATCAAGCAAACAGCAATTAAAAAAATCAGGGGCTACAATCTCGGATAAAATGGACCACCAAGTGTAAACCATAAAAAGAAATGAGGAGGAACACGATATATTGCTCAAGGGAACGGTAGACAAAGAACCACTAAATATTTTAAACATATATTCCCTGAACAAAAGACCTGCATCAACCAAAGAATGCATCAACCAAAAGCTCCAGAAGATCAAAAAAGAAATCACAGCCTCAACAATTATAGTAAGTGACTTCAATATACTGCTTTCTGAGAAAGATAGATCATAGGGAAAGAAAGTCAACAAGGAGGCTAGAGATCTAACACTACAATCAGACAAGTTGGCCTGATAGATATTTACAGAGCTCTTCACCCCCCCTCCCCCAAAATCAGATTATTTTCAAGCCGCATAGCGCATTTTGAAGATAGACCACATGCTGGGGTATAAGGCCAATCTGCATAAATTTAAGCACATTGATATCATACATACTTCTCTCTCTGACCATTGTGCCATAAGGCTGGAAATCAACAAAAGGAAGATGAAAAAAACAAGGGCAAACAATTGGAGGAAGAATATCTCTCTATTGCAAAAGGAGTGTGTAATGCACCAGATCAGAGATGAAATTAGGAAATTTCTAGAAACCAATGAGTATTAGAGTACGATGTACAAAAACTTATGGGACACAGCAAAGGCAGCTATAAGAGGAAGTTTGATAGCAATACATGCACACATGAAAAAGGAAGAGAGACTTATGATTGATATGCTGGCACGATATTTACTAGTAGAGTAGAGTGAACAGGAAAATCCTACTAAAAGCAAAAGAAAAGAAATAATCAAAATCAGAGCTGAGATTCAGGAGAGGAAAAATAAGAAATCTATGGAAAAAATAATGCTGCGAAAAGTTGGTTCTTTGAAAGGATAAAAAGAATTGAAAGACTGATTGCAAACCTAACAAAAGAAAGGCAGGAACAAATTTTAATAGCAAGGATGAGGAATGAAAGAGGCCACATTACAACAGACCCTAATGAAAGCATAAGGAAAATTACACAGTACTACAAAGGACTGTACTCCAATGAATTCAGCAACTTGGAAGACATGGACAAATTCTTAGAAAAACAATCCCTCAGTAGACTATGCCCAACGGAAGTCAAGAATATCAACAGACCCATAGCAATAGAATAAATAGACAAGTTTATTGAGGGATAACCAACAAAAAAAATCTCCTGGAGCAGAGGGCTTCACAGGAAAATTCTACCGAGCATCCAGGGAAGAACTGACAGCAACCCTAACAAACTATTCCAGAGCATAGAAAAAGAAGGCGGATGTGAGGGCGATCTGGCTGCGACATCTGTCACCCCATTGATCACCAGGGTTGATTCGGCTGATCTGGCTGGCTAGGCAGGTGTCCCCTTCCTCCCTCACCACTCCATGTGCGTCCCTCCCGAAGCTGCGCGCTCGGTTGAAGAGGACAACCTTCCCCAATAGAAGGAAGACCGTCCTTCAGTCAAGGGTATACGAGTAGCTGTGCTCCCCTGCTAGAACCTCCAAACAAGTCTCAAGGTCCATTTGTAGGAGAACGTAGGGTAGTCAAGCTTCCAAGACTCCAGACACATCCAAATGAGGTGCTGCATGTGGCAGTCTACCTTTCTAAAAAAAGAAAAAGAAGGCAAACTCTCGAATTCCTTTTTTTGCCCCTCCACTCCCACAAGTTTATTTATTTATTAATCCAGGTACATTAAAAAAAATTTTCAACTGCATACAAAACAGCCTGCTTGAAGTTCTTTCTTCTCATACTGCTTCAATGCTCAAAACTCTAGATCTTTTTGGCGTCACCACATTTTAAGGCTGGTTTACTAGCCACAGATCTACATGGAAGCTGATGGAAAACTGGGCTAATGTAGGAGGGTTCCTTGTCCAGATCCTGGAGAATTTTACAGGAAAGGTGAGTGGCAGCTGCAGATACTTTGCTGACAGAGCTTTCAAAGTCTCTACAAGTTTCTATTTGATGCAGTTGGAGATCAGATGGTTACACTAGCCACAGTCCTTGGGAACATGCTCTTTGAACTCCTTCTATGAAGCTAATTTAACTGATACCAAAACCGGACAAGGATCCCACAATAATCCAGAACTACAGAACAATATCCCCAATGAACATTGAGGCAAAAATCTTTAACAAAATACTGGCCAAGAGAATACAAAAATATATAAAACAAATAATACACCATGACCAAGTGGGATTCATACCACGGATGGTTTAGCAAACGAAAGACCATTAGTATAATTTGCCACAGTGACATGAAAAACTATAAGAACCACATGATAACATCGATAGATATGGAAAAATTTGACAACATCCAACACCAATTCCTGTTTAGGACACTCAAGAAGATAGCAATGGAAAATTCCTCAATGTAGTACAAGCTATATATGAAAAATCAACAGCCAACATGGTAGTCAATTGATAAGAGACAAAAGCAATCTCACTGAAAAAGGGGACCAGACAAAGATGCCCCTTGTATTCACTCTTATTTAACATCGTACTAGAGGTCTTAGCTAACAGCATAAGGCAAAGAAAAGACACCAAAGATATTCCCCTGGGGAATGAAGAGGTGAAATCATTGTTATTTGCAGATGGTATGATTTTATATATTGGAAATCCCAAAAGCTCCACAAGGGGAGGACTGGAAGCAAAAGAGGAATATGGCAGAGTGGCAGGATACAAGATCAACAAACAGAAGTCTATCAGACTTCTGTACACATTAGATAAGACCACAGAAGAGGAGATAAAAAAAGTGGTACCCTTCACAATAGCCAAGCACAAATTGAAATATCTCGGGATCTACCTGACTAAAAGAATAAAAGATTTTCATGAGGAAAACAACAGAACACTATGACAAGAAACCAAGAGTGACTTCAGCAAATGGAAGAATATCCCATGCTCGTGGATCAGAAGACTCAATATAGTAAAGATGTCAGTTCTGCCTAAGGCACTATATAACTTTAATGTAATCCCAATACAATTACCCTCGTCTTTCTTCAAAAAATGGAAAAACTGATTACCAACTTCATATGGAGAGGGAAGAAGCCCAGAATTAGCAGAGAACTCTTCAAGAAGAAGGCCACAGTGGGAGGGCTTGCTTTACCTGACTTTAGTACATACTATCCAGCCACAGTGGTCAAAACAGCATGGTATTGGTACAATGACAGATACTCAGACCAATGGAAAAGAACTGAAAACCCAGAAATAAAATCAACAGCATACAGACAAATTATCTTTGATAAGGGCACAAAAAATATCAAATGGGAAGCAGATACCCACTTCAACAAGTGTTGCTGGAAAAAAATGGAGATATACCTGTAGAAAAATGAAGCAAGACCCTTATTTCACTCCATACACAAGAATAAACTCAAGATGGATCACAGACCTTGAGATAAACCCCCAAACTATTAGGGCCACCAAATGAGAGAATTGGGACAAACCTGAGAACTTTGGCACACGGAATATATTGGCTATCAGAAATAGGGAAGGATACAAATACAGATGAGGCACAAATTGACAAATGGGATATACTGAAGATAAAACACTTGTGTACATCGAAAGACTTCACCAAGTGTATAATATGAGAGTCCACAGAATGTGAAAACATCTTTAGCAATGACACAACAGACAAAGGCCTTATTACTAAAATATATAATAGTCTGCTAGCTTCCAAAAAGAAAAAATCTAATTGCCCACTGAGAAGGTGGGCAAAGGACCTGAACAGAAGTTTTCAAGGGCAGAAATCCACATGGGCAATAAGCATATGAGAAAATGTTCCTGATCATTAGCCATAAGAGAAATGCAAATTAAAGCAACTATGAGAAACCACCTAACACCCTCAAAATAGCCCAATTCAAAAATCAGAAAGCACTGCTGGTAGACCTAAAGGAATGTACAGCCAATATGGAAATCGATTTGGCAATTTCTAAAACAGATGGAAATTGAGCTAACAAACAACCCAGCAATCCCCCTACTGGACATATACCCAGAAGAGGCAAGAAACAAACCATGGCCAGACATCTGTGCTCCAGTGTTCATCACGGCACAGTTCACAATCGCAAGAAGTTGGAAACAAATATCCATCAACAGATGAATGGATGAAAAAACTGTGGTACATACATACATACAATGGAGAACTACGCATCCCAAAATAACAGCGATGAACGCATGAAGCACATCACCGTGTGGGAAGAACTGCAGGAAACTTTGCTAAGCGGAGTAAGCCGAGCACAAAAAGACAAGTACAACATGAGTTCACTGAGGTAAGCTTAAAAATACAAAAGGGGCATAGGGGAAAAGCTACTGTATAAAAACACTCCTGGGGTTAGGTCCAGGTAATATGGCAGGGGCCAGACGAAATCCAGGGAGACATATGGTAGCCAAGTGAAAAGTAGGGGGTAAAAAGGGGAAAAAAAGAAAAGCCATTGGTAGTGGGGGAACAGGGCACTAACCCACACAAGGGGAGGGTATTGTTTATATCGCCACAGGGAAATAGGGACCATACTTCAACCCAGTGCTCCAAGATGTGAATGCAACGTACTAGCATGAAGCAGAGAACTAGTAGAGAGGTCTGAGGGGCTCCTCGTAGAAGAATTCACTTCAGAGGACAGCACTGAAGCTAAAGAGGGACCTGTCTCATCAGAGCACACAGGAGCACATGAAGGGAGAGGAAGAGAGAGTGGAGCACAGCCTGGCCCATCAAGCCCTGAGGACGATATTCCTGCTCAGAGCAGCCAAAGTACAGAGGACAATATGGCCAGCCCCACTAAGAGGCACGGTGTCCCTCATTGACCTATAGCACTACAGGGGACAACACTGGAGACACAGTGCAGGAATTGTGCCCGATCTGACCTCACCACACATAGGCGAAACACTAAGGGTGTGCAACAGAACAGCAAGGGGAACAGAGCAAGGAAGTCCTGAGGGAATACCAAAAATAGACTTTGGGGCCAGGGCATGGCACCCCATCAGATTTGACCAGAAAACACTCCTAAAGGTCAACAAACAGATGGTGAACTAAGAAAACTTTTGTCAGTTTTTTTTGGTTGTTGTTTTGTTTTCTTTTGTCACTTTGTTTTGCTCAGTCTTGTTTTTGTGTGCATATTATTATCTCTGCAGATCTATCTATATAAGATAGGTGGGATAAACAATCTGGAGGAGAAAACAATGGGACCGAGGGTTCTGGGGGGTATGGGAGAAGGAAAGGTGGGGGAAAGGAAGTGGGTATTAACAAACCCAGGGACAAGGAAAGAACAAGTGATTCAAAATTGATGGCAAGGAGGGTATAGGAGGCCTGGTAGGGCTTGATCAAGGGCAATGTAACCATGAGGAATTACTGAAACCCAGATGAAGGATGAACATGATAGTCAGACAAGAGGAAAGTAAAAGGAAACAGAGTAAAGAACTAGGAGGCAAAGGGCATTTATAGAGGTCTAAATACAGGCCTGTACATATGTAAATATATTTATATATGATGATGGGAAAATAGATCTGTGTGCATATATTTATATATTTAAGGTAGCAGATGGACATTGGGCCTCTACTCTAGTACTCACTTAATGCAAGAATACTTTCTTCTATTAAACTGGCATTCCATGATGCTCACTTTCCTGACATGATCACTGAAGACAAAGTGAGTGCATAAGCAAATGTGGTGAAAAAAGTTGTTGGTACCCGGGTATCAAAAGGTATAGCATCTGGGTCCTTAAAGGCTTGAGGATAAACAAGCAACCATCTAGCTGAAAAGCAACAAAGCCCACATGGGAGAAGCACACCAGCCTGTGTGATCATGAGGTGTCGATAGGATCAGGTATCAGCCATCTAAGAACAAAAAATCATATCATTGTGAATGAGGGGGAGCACAGAGTGGAAACTCATAGCCCCTCTGTAGGCAACTGGACAACCCCTTTCAGAAGGGTCATGGGGAAGAGACAAGCCAGTCAGGGTGCAGTATAGCAACAATGGAAGATACAACTTTTCTCTAGTTATTTAATACTTCCTCTACCCCCACTATCATGATTCCAATTCTACCTTACAAATCCAGCTAAACCAGAGGATGTACACTGGTACAGATAAGAGCTGGAAACACAGGAATCCAGGACAGATAAACCCCTCAGGACCAATAATGAGTTTAGCGACATGAGGAGGGGAAGGGGAAGGTGGGGGACAAAAGGGGAACCGATCACAATGATCTACATATATCCCCCTCCCTCGGGGACGGGCAACAGAAAAGAGGGTAAAGGGAGACATCGGTCAGTGTAAGACATGAAAAATAATAATAATTTATAAATTATTAAGGGTTCGTGGGGGAAGAAGGGGAAAAAATAAGGAGCTCAAGGGCTTAAATAGAAAGAAAATGTTTTGAGAACGACGATAACAACAAATGTACAAATGTACTTGACACAATGGATGGATGTATGGATTGTGATAAGAGTTATATGAGCTCCCAATAAAATGATTCATAAAACAACCCCCCCCAAACCCCTATTTTTTTAAGCATCGGAAGAACTATATAACAATGTATTTATGAAATATCTTATCTAAATTTGAAAATACATGGGGTGCTCATGAAGGTGAAAGCTTTCATTCAAGAACAGTGAGAAAGTCCCATAGATATTGTAATTGAAAAGGGAGAGCATACAGCAAAACAGTGGCAAATTCTTACCCACCTCATTAGAATAGATTGCTCTTAATATATATAACTGAAATATTCCACATTGTAGACAATGTTGATATAATTTTAAAATATCATAATGCAGATACATTACTAGTTAATTGACCCAATAAATATCAATTGTTTATTAGTAGTACCTGCTTGAGATTGTGTAAATAATCTTAGCCCATATCATGAAGAAATTTAAAATATAGTTGATTGGAACTCTATGAGAAAATTGAAAAGAAAAAAATATTAATTGTGGGTATATATCTAACTGAAATACAAATTTTGTACCCTTATGGAAAGTCATATATGGAAAAAAATATTTTCTTAAATGTCATCTATTTGAAATTTTACCTATCC